GTTTCCTACCTGGGCTGGTTCTCCCCTCCTTAGGCAACTTTGTGGTCCCCCGCTCCCGGGAGATCACTATATTGATGCCGAACTTAGTGCGGACACCCGATTGGCATAGTGCACTACAGCCCAGAACTCCTGGGCTCAAGCGGGGACAATCTCTTGAATCCAGCAGTCGAAGGTTGCAGTGAGCCGAGATCATGCCACTGCATCTCCAGCCTGGGCAACAGTGCAAGACTCTGTTCCCCCGCCCCCCGACATACACAAAAAAATTGGCAGAATTTTTTCCCTCTTTCCTCCCTGCTATCACTTTGCCTTTCAAACCAAGTCCTTCTCGATTAGCTTAGCACCAAGTACTTGTTCCCTCCTCAGCCATCCCTACGTGTAGTTCAGTGGCACTTGGGGTCAACTGCTTGTCTTTCGGACTAGGAAACTCTAGATTACAAAGCACTGAAAGCAGAGGCTTTATCTGGTTGGTCATTTACCCTGCAAAGCCCCTTGCATACAGGTGATGCTCAATAAATACTTAGTGAAAGAACATTTCATTTTCTGTGTTTCAATGGGCTTGTTTTCTCTATACAATCAGATGCTTGGTTATTCTCATCTCAAAGCTATTTTGTTGGCTTCCAGAAGGCACATTAACATTAGGTGTGTTCTGTTCTATCCTTTAATTGGAAAGAGCTTTGATAACTGAAAAACAAGAATTATTTCTCCAAGCCTCATCTTCTGCCACTCCCCATATTCACTGGCCTCATACAGGAATTGAACTACTTAGCACTGCACAGAACACGACTTTCACGCCTCCGTTCCGCTGTACTTAGCCTCTGTACTTACGTGCCATTCCCTTTCCCTGAAATGCCCTTACTCCGGCTTCTCTGCCTGGCAAACTCCTACTCATCCCCCAAGAGTCAGCTCAGACATCACCGCATCACCTCTGTAAAGGCTCTTCTGCAATGGGCAGAGTAGCCATTCCTCTTCCATCTTTTTAGCTTCCTCAGCAAACTCCAAATAATAATAACAGTACTTATGGCATTATTTGTTTATTTTTCTCTGCTTCCCTAGACCGTAAATTCCTTAAGGACCAGGATTTCTGTTCTATACCCTGCACAGTGTTCAGCCTATATCAGGCACATAATTAAATCAATGAGCAAACAAACCCACCAATCATTCAACATTGCAGAGTTTGTACGGACGGGATTCTCAAATATTTCAAGACCTTGTCCTCTGTCTGGAGTGCTTCATGCTGGAAGCTCTCTTCCTCCCCCAGCCCTCATCCATATCCAATTGCCTTGGTTTGGTAGAGGAGAAAAGAAAGTGATTAGACGGGGGAAGAATTTATTCCTTTTGGGCTAAGCTGTTATTTACCCGCTCTGGCACCGAGAGGGTTAGGGCGACCCAGGGGCGGAGCCGTGACGAGGCCACCTGCTGCGGGCGGTCTGGCGCAGGCGCCCTAAGACCTAGCTAGTCACTACCTGCCGGAGCCCGGCCCAGGAGGAGCGCTTGCGCTTTGGGCGTTTTCCGCCGGGGGAAGTCTCGCGGGGGCGGGGCGGGGCGGGGCGGGGCCTCGTGGAGAAGTTCTCGCGGGACACCCACGGGGAGCGGAAGCGAGGGTGCTGTGCTGCTTCGGCGACCGGGCGGCGGCGGCTGTGGCTGTGGCTGAGGCTGTTTCTGTGTCTGTGGCCGTGACGGCGGCGGGAGCAAGCGCTGCCCTCGCGGAGCAGCCTCGGGGTCGGCGGCCGCTTGCAGCGTTGAGGAGGGTCAGGCCGGACGCGGAGCGGACTAGCTGCGCCACGGTGAGTGCGGGCGGCTGCGCTCGGCGCCGCTCCGGTGTCTCTTCCTCTCCGCTCTGCGACGGGAGTGGGCCCTGGGGGAACCGGGACTGGGACCAGCCCCTGGGTTCGGGTCGGGGCGGCGAGGCTCGGGACGCGGAGCGGAATGCCCCAGGCTCTGGACTCTGCGTTTCCCCTTTTGGGGCGCTTCCTTCCTGGGGAACGTCCTCCTCCGGCTCTCGGCTCTGTCTGTGCAGTGTCCAGGAGCCCGGGGGTAGAGGTCGGGGCTCCCTGGTGAAGTCCCCCGCCTTCGTCGGATGGGTTTGCACGGAACGGGCCCGGGAAACCCGGACGGGCAGAACGCCGACTGAGTCAGTCCGCCGGATTCCGGCGGCGGGGGACTCGGTGTGGGCTGCAGCTGTGGTGATTGATGCGCCTCCGACCTGCACGGCAACCACGTCACCATCTCTTGGCGTCTTTGGGCTTAATTTTGTGCGGGAATCCACTGTGGGGTAGAACGTTCGCTGCCGGAGACGGGGGAGATGTCTTTATTCTGACAGTAAAAAAAAAAAACTATTTGAAAAATTAAGTAGCAGCAGGTTGGACTGCACCGAGGAAAGATTGCGGCGAGAGCGGGAGCTGGTAATTTTCATTTGCAGCGCGCCCTCTCTGTGATTGTAAACCACATATGAGTTATGGCTTGTTTGGAAAGTTTTTCAAGGCTGGCTTCAAACGCTCTGAAAGTGCAGTTTGCAGGGGACTGAAGTGCATTTGAGGTGTATCTCTTCTTGATGCTGTTGACTTTCAGAAATGTCGGACACATGAGAGAAATCAGCATTAGTCCCTGGCTTTCTTAATCCCTTCTTCACTCAGTATTTCTCCAGTTATTTCCTTATCTCTCTATCTACTTCTGTCCATTCCACTAGGGACAAGAAATGCTTGTGTAATGCAAGTCATTTGCCCCTTCCTTCCCCCAACCCCCTCTTTTTTTCTAATCTACTTCCCCTTCCTCCTTGGTAGTCCCCACTCTGGCGTAATTTTTCGAGGTTTCTTCCTTTTCGTGCTGTTCGTTTTCTTTCATTTCAGGATTCCGTCCTTTTTCTCGGGAAGAGACCCTCTTTCCTGCTTTGGTTCCTTTACTTTTGCGTTTTCCTCTGCGTTCGCTAGTCAGCCAGATGGGTTGCTAGAGAGCCATTGGAGGCTGAAGTTACCCCGCTGAGAAGGGGGTGGGGGGCTCAAAAGATTGAATTCAGCCGGGCGTGGTGGCTCACGCCTGTAATCCCAGCACTTTGTCAAGAGATTCAGACCATCCTGGCCAACATGGTGAAACCTCGCCTATACTAAAAATACAAAAATTACCTGGGTGTGGTGGCGCGCGCCTGTAGTCCCAGCTACTCTGGAGGCTGAGGCAGAAAAATCGCTTCAACCCGGGAGACGGAGATTGCAGTGAGCTCAGATCGCACCACTGCACTCCAGCCTGGCGACAGAGCGAGACTCCGTCTCAAAAAAAAAAAAAAAAAAAAAAGATTGAGATAATCCCTAAGAATTCAGTCCTGCCACTAGGTTACAAGTGTGGTTTGCTTGTTATTTTTGTGTTTTAGTTTTTTAAGATTATGCTTTTGTGCCTGTTTATGCTTTCTTCCAGTATGTCTTTATAATAGCAAGGAATATTGGGTCCGCTCAGGGCTTATCTGACTTTTTGACTTGTAGTGGGGGGGGTGTTAATGTTAAAAAGGGAAGGTCAACTATAAATCTATATTAGGTTAAAATAGTCTGAAAAATGTAAGAGGCTAGAATTGATTTAGGCCATCGAATTAGTTGAAGCCTGCGTGTTGTAGTAGTACTAATTTATTCTTTATTAGGCTTTTAGTTAAAAATCAGGGATCTTTTTTCTACATCGATTATAACTGGCCTTCGTTGTTTTTGATAAAGAAATCTCTAGTTGCTCCTTCCCAAGTTCAAAATGTTCCCAATCTCAAGATTTAAAAGAGTAAATTCTTATGATCAGCTATCTCCTAGCAAGCATTTATTTATTTATCTTATTTTATTTATTTATTTTTTGAGACAAGTCTCACTCCGTTGCCCAGGCTGGAGTGAGTGGTTCTGAGGCTCTCGGCTCTCGGCTCACTGCAGCCTCCACCTCCTGGGTTCAAGCACTCTTCTGCCTCACCTTCCCAAGTAGCTAGGATTACAGGTGGTCACCACCACACCTGGCTAATTTTTGTATTTTTATGGAGACGGGTTTCACCAAGTTGGCCACGCTGGTCTCGAACTCCTGACCTCAAGGGATCTGCCTGCCTCAGCCTCCCTAAGTATTGGGATTACAGGCGTGAGCTACTGTGCCGAGCCTAAACTCAAACATTTAAATATTTGAGGCACTTTACTTGTCAGCAAGTTATTCCTATTTGAGAGGCTTGCTGGGTTTTAAGTACTACCAGTTGCTGGTACTTTTCTTCTCAGTAATTCCTGTTATGTTGCATATTGTGCATTGGAGTTCTAATTGTTGCATAGAACAGAAGAGCAAAGGATTTTGGAGAAAGGAAGTAATACAGAATAGAGTTGCCATGCTCTCCTGAGATAAATTAATACTTAACTGCTTAATTCAGAGGAAGTGTCCGCCATTACCAGGTGGCTTTTGAGAGTCTGTATTTTTGTGTGTGTGTCAAAGTTGCCTTTTTCCCAGTTGTGCCAAGTGAATATGCATTATTTTCATTTCATGCAAGGACATTGTAATGCATTATCCAGAATGCAAATTTTAAAATCTGGCTAAGGCATCCTTATGGTACAGCAGTGATTTAAAATTTAGTGCATAAAAATCACTGGGGGATCTTTTTAAAATTAGGTTCTGGTAGAACTCCAGGATGTTTCCCATAGTGAATCAGTCTCTGAATGGAGGAATTTTGATACAGATGGTTTAAGGATCAAAACTGTTGTTAACAAATGCAGCCATAAATAATAAGACTGCTGTGTGGCTTTAAATTATTCAACTTAAAATTACATTTTTTGTTTATACACAAAGTCAGTATTTAGAATAGCCTAATGGAATAAGTGACTATAGGCGTGATTCGTTTTTTGAGATGGAGTTTCTCGCTCTTGTTACCCAGGCTGGAGTGTAGTGATGCGATCTCGGCTCACTGCAACCGCCTCCTGGGTTCAAGCCATTCTCCTCTCTCAGCCTCCTGAGTAACTGGGATTGCAGGTACCTGCCACCATGGCTGGCTAATTTTTTGTATTTTTAGTGGAGACGGTGTTTTGCCATGTTGGGCAGGCTGGTCTCAAACTTCTGACCTCGGGTGATCCGCTTGTCTCAGTCTCCCAAAGAGCCATTGCGCCTCTCCGATTTGTTTTTACATGTGTAAATTCTTTAGTATTCTTAGTACTGTGACGTGGAATGATTTAACTTGAAGTTTATACTTAGTAGGGTCATTAATTTGCCTACAAGAGAATTTTTCTGAGTCCGTAGACTCAGACTAGACTGTAGATTTTTTAACTTGTGAAAGCAACAGCACTCAGTAAAAACTATACTTACACATACAACTGTTTTGTTTTTTCACTCTCAGTACAATTGTAAATTATAGGAGAGATTCATCGCTTTATAAAATGGTCTTTGTCTTAGGTGATTTTGCTCAACTGTAGGCTAATGTGTTTGGAACACATTTAAGGTAAGGTAGGGTAGGCTGAGCTATGGTGTTTGGTAGGTTAGGTGTATTAAAATGCATTTTCACTGGGCAAGGTGCCTCACGCCCGTAATCCCAGCACTTTGGGAGGCCGAGACGAGCAGATCACCTGAGGTCAGAAGTTTGAGATCAGCCTGGCTAACATGGTGAAACCCTGTTTCTATTAAAAACACAAAAAATTAGCTGGGCGTGGTGGTGTGCACCTGTAATCCCAGCTACTTGAAAGGCAGCGGTTGCAGTGAGCTGAGATCTTACCATTGCACTCCAGTTTAGGCAACAAGAGCAACACTTTGTCTTTAAAAAAATGCATTTTTGATTTTAACGATATTTTCAACTTATGATGGCTTCATCAAGATACCTGCCTATGCAGATGGAAGCTCCAGATTTACTCTTAGAACATGTAGGCTAGTATTTGAAAAGAGACTGAAAATACTAGTTAAAATCTCTGGCTTATACTAGATTATAATAATAAAATCATCACAGCCCACACTATAGCAGATAATTAGCTCAGTCTTTTGGAGACAGCCAGAGACTTCTACCAAGCAGTTTCTCTTTTAATTCTCAAAATGACTTTATAAGGTAGTTGCTGTTACCATTCCCATTTTCCAGTTGAGGGATACTAGGGATTACAGAATGTAAGTTATTTCTCCTTGTTAGTAAGTGGAAAAGTGACATTTGAATCCAGGTCTAACTCCAGGAGGACAGTAAGCTTTTTGGTTTGTGTTCTGGCTACAAAAGTAATACATGTCTGTTGTAAAAATAATGAAAATGCAATTGAGGTGTATTATGCAGAAAGTAAAAGTGTTCTGTGATCTGGCTAGCAGAGATAACCATTGTTAGCTTTTTTTTTGAACTAGGAAAAAATAATTTTTATTATTTAAAAATTTATTGGCTGGGCACAGTGGCTCATGCCTGTAATCCCAGCACTTTGGGGGGCTGAGGCGGGCGGATCATGAGGTCAAGAGATTGAGACCATCCTGGCAAACATGGTGAAACCCCGTCTCTACTAAAAATACAAAAAAAATAGCCAGGTGTGGTGGCGCATGCCTGTAGTCCCAGCTACTTTGGAGGCTGAGACAGGAGAATTGCTTGAACCCGGGAGGCGAAGGTTGCAGTGAGCCGAGGTCGTTCCACTGCACTCCAGCTTGGCGCCTGGTGATGGAGTGAGACTCTGTCTCAAGAAAAACAAAACAAAACAATTTATCTTTGTCATGTTTAAAAAAATGGCTAAAGACCTGACTTTCAATGTCTTCTTTTTCTATATCTTCTATTGCTTATGCCTCTATTCATGAGCTCTGTTGTTTTCTACTACAGAGAGTAATTCCTTGGAATGCACATTTTCTTCTT